GATATCACCCTTGGTAGCAGTTCTCCTGCATTAAGGATAAAAGTTGCTCAATAAGCGGTGCTGAAAAAATATTTGTTTTCTAATGAGATAGATGTCTTTAATGGTTAACCCTTTTATTGCACTATTTAATTTTACCAGACAGATATGTCTTTGACCAAAACTGGCAGCCTCCTTTCCCACACCCATTTCAGTATGTCCTCAGGCATGCTGTAAGCATTGGTTGGTTTGCCTTTTTTTTTTTTCGTGTGGTTCATCTCACAAGTTTGAATTACAATAACCATATAATTCTTTTTCAGTGTGAGAATCTTTATCTCCTGTGGCGAATTGTGCATGTTATGGGTCTGTTTATATGTGTTTGAGTACTACTGATGAGACACTCTGACTTTACCATCCCTTCTTTCTCAAAAGAATTGCATAATGCTAACTGAAACTGAGTATTTCCCCATGTTTAACTTCTGTAGTCTCAGGAGAAATTCCAAGGTGGTTAGTGTATTCCTCTTGTGTTTGCCTTCCCAGATTGCCAAAGTCACACAAAATGCATGGGGTTGTGCTTGTGGTGGTGACACTGGTGTCAATGCAAGGCATGGCCTAAGCGTTTTCTCCTCTGTTAGTGTAGCGATGGCCTTCATTTTCATTCCTGCAAAGCCCTCTTGGCTAATTTATTCCCAGGATGGAGTCCTAGTCACTTGGGTGTCCTTGGTTGGCCGAGGATGTTCCGTGGGATTTGCCTCGTGTCACACATGCTCTCACTTCTTCCTCTGGCTCTTACAGGCAGTTCTGCAAGGATTTTTTTTTTACCTAACACAGGTGGCAACTTGAAACCGAGAACTTATTTTAACATCATAACGAAACCCAAAACATCAAAAATTAAAGTTTCAGAAGAAGGCGTTTCAGAACGCAAAACCTCTTACATATATCTATATTTCTTCTTCTCCTGATTCTCAGTTCATTTATTGCAATTGGGAAGAGTTACTGTCAAATAATAGTTTTTCCTTCACTGTTTCTCCTGACAGGTTACCCAAAACACTGAAAAGAATTATGTAGTCAGAAAAAAAACTAGGTGATGATAATTAACTGAACTATAGCTTTTAATTTAATGACTTTTCTTGGTCTTAAAGTTGGGAGCTGATCCAGTTAACAACCTTATTGGAAGTGTTTCCGCTGACTGCTGAAAGAGCTGGATTTTTGGCTCAGTACTGTTCTCTGAAAATAAGGGGAGTGAGGCGGACCTCTATGTTAGTTAAATAAACTAAGTACTCCAGCCAAATAAATCTCAGTACAAAATTGTTAACACCCAAATAATCCACCAGCTGTACTTTGCAGAAGTTACGAACCTTACAAAATGATCACAGTTGCTCAATTTTAGTTTTGTCATAGCTTTGCGGTGCAGAGATTTTTATTTTTCCCATGGTAAAAATTAATTGCAAGAATGTACGTTTTGCTAAACTTGTTAAACTGATGTAGGAAGCCATGCTTTCAGATTTGCAGCCTTGTTCAAAGCGGGGCAGAATGCATTAAAGTAACTAGAAGGGTTAGCAATTTTCCAGTGCCTTAACTTCTGAAGATTTATGCATCTGCTGTGGATGGAAATCGTCCAATATCCTCCAGAGATAATACCTGGGGCCAGGCATACAGTTTGCCTGCTTCATATTCCCATTCTTCTGTAGCAATAGATTGATCCCTCAAGCTTTTCAGTTTGTGAAATCGCCATCCCTTGATGTTCAGCAAAGTCGCTCCTCTTTGTAACATCCTGTTTCTGTACCTGTGTAATACCATGCATTGTTAACACACATACAAGAGTAAGAACCTGTTCGATCACACTTGAACAGTGTGACGTTTTTCTCATCTATAAAACTGCCAAGGCAAGTTAAATCATTGTTTTTCACCTGTGCCAGCACCATATTGTACTAATTGACGAGACCAAAGAGGTAGTTCCAAATGCTGTGCCAGAAAGAAACAGTTAAAAGTAAAGACAATGTCAGTCTGCACCAGCACCCTGTACCCCTTCGGTTCCTACGCCAAAGGTGCAACCCTGCCAGTCATAGCCCTCCTCCATGGGGTGTGGGGACAAAACCATAAATGACTTCATGTTGCGAGAAGTAGTAGGTGATAACACATGTTAAACATATGAGGAATCACTGGGGGAAATGATCTAAGTAAGAGTTTTCATTAGTGATTATGGAAGACCCCTGAAACGTGTCCTGGAGTTTTCCTAACTGCACTTCAGGATTAAGCATGTGTAAGGTCAGGTGTTGCTCCTTGGTGGAAAACGCTCCCAAAATGGAAGCAGTAGTTGACAGTACCATGACAAAAAACATGATGGTTTTTGATGAACGTGAGGCAAAGGAATGGAAAGTTGCAAAACCAGCCTGAACAAATGCTGTGGTACCAAAGAGCAAGGAACTGGATTTGGAATTCCTGGCTAAGGAGTACTCACCATGGAAACATAGGATTATGTCCTGAAAAGGGCATCTTGCTTCTAGTTTTGCCTCATATCTGTCATTCTCTCGCAATCAAATACGCCCTCTTAATTTTTGCTAGCTTCTGTTGAGCTTGAGAAGAGCAATGTGTTGGCTGCATGGACACTGTACTGGGCCAGTAGGATTAAAATGAAGAGCTGATGAATTGTATGGAAATGAAGATCTAGAAAAGAAAAATATTTAAAAGTCAAATACAGGCTTTTCTTCTCAAAAAGGGTGTTACTCTAAGCTGAACAAATAAACCCATGAAACCAAATTCTGCCTTCTAGAAATAGAATAATAAAGGTTTTGCCTTACGCTTTTCTCCTATTACCTCAAATGATGGTGGCAGCATCAGTGAAGAAATGTGGATGATTCTTCATGTGCCGCTCTCTCCTTGTTCAAGCTGCGCAACAAACCTCTGCAGATCGGTCTGCTGCTCTTCTGCTCCCTGGGATCCTGTAAGGCTTCAAGCCCAGCCTCGGGGCTTCATGGGGAAGCAAACCAGAGCTTAAGCCCAGAGTTAACTAACAATCTAAGTATAGGCTTCACTACTCAAGTACACAAACCTTGGCGGATTTCTCAATAACGTGTATCGTGCAGGATGTCGCACAGCAGGTCGTGGTACGTGCTGCATTCTCCAGCTGCTCTCTGTGTGTGTGCATGAGTGGTAAGTCCCACGGACCTCACGGTAACTCCTCTCACTCTTGCAAGTGTGTGTGGGTACTGTTAGAAACATTAAAATGCATTTCCTAACAGCAAAAATGAAGACACTAGAACACTTTCAGTATTAGACTGTAATAATCATGTAATGGTATATGTGTATAGTAAGCATATAATACATTCTACTTCTCATTCATAATGTGCTCTGTTAGAAAGTAAAATAGAAATTAAAACCCTTCAAAAATGATCATCCTGGAAGTCAGTTGTAAGTAAGAAAATAAGCTCAGCATGTCACTGTTAATTGTTAAAGAGGCAGCCAGTAAAAGAAGGAACGTGTGCCTTTAATTGGAAATTATTTAGTAGACCCAGAAACTGTCATTCGTACTACAGTTAATATGTACATTTATGAAGATGCTGATGTCGATACATTTATAGGCAGATGAGGTAAAGATATTCACGTCATCTTGCTAAGGAAGTAAGGATTACTGTGAAAATTTTTAAGGTAGAAAGATTTGATGCGCTAAATACCAACAGAGACTGGCATCAGATGCAAGACCTTTCACCTTTTAGCCTCAGTTAATGTCCAAAATGTATCCTGCTCGACTGAAATCTGGGATGCATTTGAATTTTGAAAGGAGTTGGACTTTGTTGTGATGGGTGCTCAAGAGCATCAAAAAGGTGTTTGTGTCCTCACTGCTACTCATAGCACATACGTGTGCTTTAGAAGAGAATTGCTACCCCATGCATTAGCGGACATCTCTGTTGGTAGTATCAACAACTTGTTAACAGAAGAATTAATTTGGCAGTGCTGGAAGGGAGTAATTGGGAAAACATGGAACTAGAGCTACTGATGGCTGCAGTGAGAAGTCAAGGATTTGAATTAGGGAAGGAACGTTTGGGTGTTTAACCATGGCGATATCAAAAGTGAAACTATATGCAGTTAGATTATACTGCTTTTTTTGCATGATGTGTTTCTCTTTTCTACCTGTCTTAGAATGTAGGATCTTTATTTGGAAAGCACTGAGTGTACTTTGGATGCTGTCGGAACGTGACAAAGCTGACGAGACAGCACGCGCTGAAATTCAAGTACTGGTTTACCCCAGATAAGAATGCAGTAGCACCTTTGCTGCAATTAAAGGTAGGTCAGTGGGAAAGCACGAAGAGCTCTGGGATGGCATCTGTCTTTAACATTCAATTTACTTTCTGAACGTATGACTTCAGACCTCATAGCTGCCAAAATTGCACCTCTGACAAACGTTGAAAAACGACCCACCTTAAGTACAAAAAGCAAAAGCACAAGGTTTAGTTTCACTCCAAATAAAACAGTGTGGTTAAATACAAAAAACTGTTCACCCCCCTCCCCTTTTTTTTTCCAAGTTAGGAAGTGAATGAAGGAGAAATAATGAAAGAGTATTCTTACGAATATGTGAGCTACGCTCCCTTCATAAAGACACTGGGAAAGGTCCATCATCACGCACCCCCATAAAAGCCGGTTCAGTTAGCCGTTTAACAAATACGTGTTAAAAGCGATGGGAACGTGAGAAATGGATTGTGTGCTTTGGAGACCAACCTGGTAACGCTGTGCATTTAGAAAGCCAGGCTCACGGTGTTGGGTGACGCCGCTTAACAACTGAAAGTCGAGTTTGCCGAGCCCTTGCGGTTCTGTATTTTCTATTAACTACGTCTTTTCAAAAGAACTTGAAGAGAGACCTGCCAAACGGGATTCTTTTCACTCAAAGCACGACGTGAAAAAGCTGGAAGAGGCAGAAAAAAGCCGTTTACTGCGGGGTGACCGTCGCGCCGGTGGGCGGGGCCGGGCCGGAGGAGGGGGTGTGGCCTGTTTCGAACGGCCCCGCCTCCTCGGTGGGCTGGGGGGCGCGACGTCAGAGCGCAGCGACGCGGTCGGTGCTTCCCGCCCGTTCGGCAGCGCCATGTTGAAGGTGAGGTAAAGCGTTGCCCCCCGGTTCGCCGCCGTTGTCGGTCGCCCCTTGGCTGACGGGGTTACCCGCTCCTCCGGTCCGCGTCCCGGGGGAGCCGGCGGAACGGCGAGGCGGCGAAGGCCTTTCCCTTCCCGCTCCGGGGCCTCGAGAGGCGGGACGCGCCGGTTCCCCCGCGGAGGCGGGCAGGGCGGCTGGCGAGGCCGGCAGGGG